AACGGGCTTAAACTAACCATGCGGTCATTTTTATTTACGAAGAGATACAACATCGAAGACACCTGTGAAAGCTTCACCATCCAGGGTCCTGCAAAGAAAGCGCTAAAGCTCACGTCCACATAGCAGGGACTTACCTGGGGGCGAGCAGAAGCATCCCAGCTAACAGCCCTCTGGCCAGCTGCATGTCGTATTCAGAGGTGGGATAAAAGGCCATTTCGCCCCGCTACTGCTCTCTCCCTGTCCCGGCGATCCCCTGCGCCTCCTGTCATAGCCAGAACCGCCCTGAGCTCACTAAGCGAGCCGCTGGCCGGGCGGGACCTTCATTCCGGGTCACCTCTGCAAACTGGCCAATTAAAATTCAATTCCCACCCAGTCCGAGTGAAGAAGGGAAGGTGACGCTGGGAGCTTCTCCTGAGAAGACAGCATCTCAGTCAAGAGCGCGCAGCTGAGAAATGCTAGAGTCCCACACTTTGTGGGCAGGAGGAGCAGAGCAGCAAGGAAAACCACCGGCTGATACGATGCCTCAAGCGGGACTGGGCAGCTTCCTTGAATGATCCCTGCCAAACCAGCGCCCTCCTCCGCAGGCAAAAATGCCACTGTCTGCAAAAGTGTGTGTCAACTGCTTTAGGCTTCCCACAGTCTGGGAGGCCACTGCAGCCGGGCTCCAAACCAGTATCACTAGACCTCGTAAGGCCATGCTGTCCTGTAAAGGCCAAGTCGGTGGCCCCAGGAAAAACCTCAGAGCCAAGGGCAGGGCAGCGAGCCTGGTGAACCAGTCTCACTGCTCAACGGAGAATGAATTAGGGGTCAAAACCCGAGCTCCTATCATGGCTTTGCCTTGATTCATTTTCCAGAGCCCAGACCACCATGTGGCAAATGCTTAACAAGCAGATGAGACGGTTGTGATGACGGTGGCAATTGGTGGGGGAAGAGCTGGGAAGTTTCTGAGGGAAGCACTAGCTCAGGAAATCCTGAGTTTTAGGTTGGAACATTTTGTTTCCTTTACCAGCACTCTGAAGTTCCCTGGCCTGGGCTGGACAGATTTCATGGGGACGTTCCTGTTAGGGTAAGTGAGATCGCAGGATTCCTGCTGACAGGTTGGGTAAATGCCTTCAGGGGGTCTATGCGGGAAGGGAAGGTTGGGATTGGATCTGTGAGGACATCAAGCCCTGGGCCACCAGGAGTTTCTCTTTGTCAACCTGGGTCCTTGGCTGGACCAAGAAACTACAGTTAGGGGGATGGAGTTTCTTGCTTTTACTCTTTCATTTTTCTTATACAAAAATGAGAAAATCCTTCCTGGCTATTTTCTCCGCAAAAAAAGGAACTCTCTGCCACTCTGACCCTGTGCACTTGGAATTGGCTCATGACGGGGCACTTTTCAATTCTAAAATCTGTGACCTGACAAATTAGATTTGCTCAACGCCCACTACTAACCTCCCAGCTCAACACTTGGACGACTCCTAAGAAGCTGATGGGCACATCACTTCTGCTCTAAGGGGAAGCCCAGGACATCGGCGCCTTACGCCTTTCCAGAATTCAGCGCGAGATTTAGACCAGAGCCAGCCCGAAGGAGCCGCCAATGACCAAAACCAGAATAAAGTACGCGATCAAGTGACAGTCTCTTTGGATTACAACCCACAGAATAAAGTAAATGTGAAGGAGTCCTTACTGATATAAACAGTTAAAAAAAAGGTGGGGAAACAGAAAAATCCCGATTAATAAATGTAGAAGGAATGAAGGAAATACAGAGTCATCTTAGAATGTTCTAGTAATAAATGTTGCAGAGAATATAACCATATATAACTCCTGGTGACGTCAACCTTGATTACTTGGTTGTGGTGAGGTCTGCCAGGAGTTAAGACATCCTAACATCGCATAATCCCTAACAGGACATGCTCAGAAGGACACATCAATTCTGTGGTAAACTTGGCAAAAATGGAGAACTTCAGTCTAACCATGAGACAACATCAAACAAACCCAAACAGAAGGCTTTCTACAAAATACTGGCCCATACTCTTCTAATGTGTCAAGGCCAGAAAAGACCAGGAAAGCCTGAGCAAATACCCAATATCACAGATGACAGGAAACTGAGGAAACATGACAAAGACAACGTGGAATCCTGGAACAAAAAGGGACAGTCGTAGAAGAAAAAAAATGATAAAATTTAAATAAAGTCTATAGTTTACAAGTCTTAGCGTCTGTAGTCAACAGCACTTCACCAATGTCAGTGTCTTGGTTCTGCTCTTTGGACTATGGTTGTAAGAGTTGCTAACTTTAGGGAGAGCTGGGGGGTGGGTGTAGCAGAAATCTCTTTACTATTTTTGCAACTTTCTTATGAGTTTACAATTATTTCAGAATAAAAAGTAAAAACCAAAATGGGCAGGATTTAAGACCGGAGTATAACTCGATGAGAACCGCCCCAATTTCTAAGTTCAGTCCTACATCAGTGACGCTTAGAGTGCGGACGTCTCTTCCTCTAGGAAAGAAGCCCGCCACTGCCGGGGCGTACAGTGAACTCAGCTGTGGATTCAGGACACACACCTAAAATTCCCAGAGTTTACGGAGTTAGAGGGACATGACTGGGAGCACACTGTATGCAACGCAGAAGTCATGACGTTTTTAAAAGGCAGTGGCTTGCCGATCTACTCCCTGCCAGTCTCCCCTTACACGGACAGAGCACCGCCGGCCAGCTCTGACCACGCTGGTGAGGGCAACCCCGGCTTGTTTTAGAGATAGTCTCTGTGGGTAGGACACCATCTGGATATGCAGTTAGGTTCGTTTGTTTTATCCAACTGTTAAAGACCGCTGTGTAAAATCCTTTCATTGTTTCAAGTTCAAACTCAGGGCTGGAGGTCGCTGCGCTCAAGCAGGCGCTCCTTCCGGCTCTGCTCTTCTACCTGCATCACCCAGGGTCACGGTCCCACGGTTACCCCCAGGGGCCCCACCAGCAGCAACTTGGAGGTCACACCCTTTCATCTTCCTCCTCCCTTCTCCCATCCTGATCTGCTATCAGTCTTCCTCCCAAGTTCATCTCCTATCTTATCTGCTTTCTTGCCCCATCACCACTTGCTTGGTTCGATCCCGATCATTCTCCACCCACCCCCAGCCCCCAAGCTGGCAATTGCAGTAACTTCTTCTGCACAACTCTCTGGCCTTGAGTACACTGGCGTCGAGGCCCAGCCAGCCTACACAGCCCGGCGGAGTCTTGCTAAACGGAAGGTTCTGGTTCTCTACTCTGTGACGACCCAAGGGAGGGCACAGTGCTCGGGGCTCTGCTGCTTCGGGCTGGCCCGGAACAGCCTTTGCCAGCCGGCTGCCTTGTAGCCAGTGCCCTCTGCGGGCCGGACCTGTCCCCGATCAGTATATTCAAACTTCTTTGGAGTCTCTTTTTCGAATGAACTCTTACAGAGAACTTAAATGGAGACGCCGTAAACAGGGAAAAATTGTCTAAATCCAATTTACAATGTCCACGTCTTCATCACGCGAGTCACCGGGTCTGCAAGGAAGAGCCGTGAACTGAAATCGGGAAGGGACGAGCAGCTCTTACTGAGCATTCAAGGCGTGCTGGGCACTGCCCCACCCGCTTTCTGTGTGTTCGGACTTTCCATGCTTTCAGCCACCCTGGGATTAGTTACTAAACTCGTCTCACAGGCTGGAAACAGGGAGCGAGGGTAACACGCGCGCTTACACAAGAAGGGGCAGCATCACGACGGATGCGTCACGACATCTGCTTCCACGGACCCCCCAGCACTCTGTGTTCTCCTGCCCCCCGTGCTGGCACAGACACACGTGGGAACGGACAGCATGGAAGCCACACCATCACCGTCGTGCCCCTGACATTCACCTCCCCTGACACTCCGTCCTCGCTCCCTCCGGGCGGGCTCTGTGCTTAGTGCTTGGCGCATCTCAGCAAACTGAATTCCCAGGGTTTTACTAGGAAGTAGGTCGTCACGCTCAAGGCAAGAAACGGCGGCACCTGTGAGCTCGAAGTGAGCCTGAGCCCACCGCCTCCTCGCTGAATAATGGTGCGGACTCCACAGGACTGGCCTGGGAACTGATGAGAAAGGCCAAGGTCAGGCGTGCCACTGAGCGTGCAGGAGCAGGGGGGAAGCACAGAGACACGGCTGCGAACTTCTACGGGGCCGACTTTATCATCCTACGACGTTCCTCCATGAACGGATGACGAGACGTTTTCATGACTATCAGTCCAAAGACAAATGAGTCTCACTTTAGTGTAACACACTGGTCCTTTCCAGAGCATCGAAGACGTTGGTTCGTACGTTGCTTTGAGTATTTTTGATTCTAGTTTTAAAAGCAGTGGTTGATGTGTCTTTAAAAAGAGATCTGAGTCAAGTGATTTGTGGGAGCCCCACCTCACCTCCCAGGAACTTAAAGATTTCTTCAGAACCGAGTTTGAAAATTACCACGAACCTCCTCGGAGCTCCTCCGGGACCTCCCCGTTCAGCCCCTCCCGACCTTGCGCTCTATCCTGTCTCTTGACTCCCAGCCTTGGCCCCCAGCTCCCTTTTCCCGTGGCCAAGTCCCTTCTCCTGAACGCCCCCCACAGGCCTCCGAGCCTCTTACCTGTGCTTGGGCCGCCGCTTAGCCTCTCCCGACCATGCGGCTTTCCTGTGCTGGGGGCGGGAGGCCGGGGGCTCCGGGCTGCGGTTAGACGTGCCGGCGCCCGCAGGGCCCGGGGCTGCACACGCATCTCTGGCAAAAAGAAAACCAGAAGCTGAGTGCGATGCTGTTCAAGGGCAGGGGCACAAACAAAGCGACAGGAACAACGCGTGAACATGAACACGGGGTCAGAGCAGAGTGGCCGAGCGAGGCGGCCGTTCTCAGCTGCCCCCACTGAGCTCTGCGCCCCAGGGAAGGCGAATCCCCTCCTCGGATCTTCATCCTTCCCTTATGACATCCCTGTGAAGCACTAAAGTGTCCTTCCCCGTCTCCGAAGACCCAGGTTTTCCGACCACAGGGGAGAAGAAGGAGACACTGCAATGAAGGTGAACTCCCCTGTCATCCAGCCTCTACCCATCGGTAAAGAGGAGAAACTGGCCCCCTTGAAGCATGCGGCCAGGCAAGGTGGCTCCCGGGAACCCGGGCCCCGCCGCCTCCCGTCTCAACTTCATAACCAGGAGCGTGACCCCCAAGTGAGCAGCCCCCGCTGCTCGGCCGCGCAGAGGAACGTGCCAACTCTTGAACCTGAGCTATTTGGGATTGTCCAGATGCCACTGTGCTGGAGGCGAGCCCTTTCTGTGTCCGTTAAAATCCATCCCCTGCCCCGTCCCGAACACCATTCCCTTAACGCCTCCGCTCTGCACCCCCCGGCAGTCAGAGGTTTTCAGCCCTGCGTGGCCACTGTGTTCTGCCGGGACAGCAGGGGCATTTCTCCTCTGTCGGAGCATCTCAGCCCCCAAAGTCTGAGCTGCTGTCACTTGGGAACTGAAAGATGCGGGGCAAACTGCCCTCTGAGACTCGGGCTCCGCATCAGAACGTCAGGATGAGACGGTTAGGATGTTAGGAGCCTCCCCGAGCTGGACTCTTCCTGCTGACCAGCCCTGGGACACCGTCCCCTCTGTGCCCCGGTTCTCTCAGCTCTAAAATGGGTGCACAAAAACACCCACACTTCCACGGAGCTGTTGAGAAGCTTAAACGAATTCTGCTGAAGGCCTGAGAACAGAGCCCGGCACATCTTTGGCGCTCAGCAAAGTAGCCAGTAGCAGCAGCCTGTCCTGCAGAGCTGCTCGAAGGGTTTTCGAGGACTCGTTAACTGTCCAGCATCCTGCCTCCACGGGGGACACGCCTGATTATTCTCACCATCATTTACAGCGGTGCCTCCACTTCAGAGCTGCTTTTAGCTAAGATGTGACACCAAAATAGACACAACTAAAGAGACCTGATCTGTGCTGGAAATAAGAGCAGGAAGAGCTCTGGCCAGGGGCGCCTGGGTGGTTCAGTTGGGTAAGCGTCTACCTTCGGCTCAGGTCTTGATCCCAGGATCCTGGGCTCGAGCCCTGCGTCAGGGTCCCTGCTCAGCGAGAGCCTGCTTCTCCTCTCCACCTCTCCCCCTGCCTCTGTGCTCCCCCTGCTTGGGCACTCTCTCTCTCTCTGTGTGTCAAATAAATAAATAAAATCTTAAAACAACAAAAAGAAGAGCTCTGGCCAGAGAGCTGATGGTCGAAGCGTTTTGCAGAATCCATCACGTGGCCCCCAGCGAGAATTACTCACACAACCCTCCAGGGCACCAAAGCCTCTAGCTTCACCGGGGGCGGGAAGGAGGTTCGCAGGTGTCTGACCAGCAGCTGTGTGAATGTAAAGATGACACGAACGTGAGCAGCACGCCCACGTAATTCTGAGAGCAAACTCTCCTTTCTGGCTCTCCTCTGGCTCCCGATGTCTGCGACGGGGAAACAAAGACCAAGCCTGAGCTTTTGTAAAACCTTTGTGGCATTTAATAACTTCCTCATTTTTGGCCCAAACCACAGAGGCTGGCTCTGCCCTTGCCACACCATAACTAAGCCCTTGGCTCTTTCCTTGCCCACCCCCCCTTCCTAGGAGGCACAAAGGGATGGGAGGTCCAGGAGTACCGTCCCAGGGAAGGGCCAGCCGCAAGTGCAGGCCGATGGGGAAAAGATGGAAGCACACTGAACAGGAGACGATCTTAAAAAGACTTCCTCTTTTTAAGGATTTTTAATTTGTGATTCTTCACAACCCTAGGAAAGCAGAGACTAGCACTGCTCTCTGCGGCCACAGGTGGTCCTGTCACCTGCCACCTCCAGGGGACCAGCAGAGGTTGGCAGCTGGGTGTGAGGGTTCGTGGAACCCATGTGGCTTGTCGCTGACTTGCAACTCCTGGGCTGAATCAGAGCCCCGCCTCCCTGCTAATCTTCCCCTCCCCCACCCCCGACGGACTCACACCTGAGTGGGCCATCTGCACACATCATACAAACTAGGACAAACGAGAAAAGAGGCTAGAGAGAGTACAGAAGAACCACCAGCACCCAGAACACAACTTTTCTGCCTTCTGGAAAAATCTGGACAACAAATAACGTTTAAAACATCATACGTCCTAATGAAAAAAATTCTGTAGTGGAGGGAGGCACAAAACAGTCCTGGAATGAGTGTTGGGAGCCCATCACCTTGGAATCCTCCCTTCACCCTTTCCTCACCCACCCTGCCCGCTTCTCCCCCACCCCCCACCCCACACCCCAGCTTCTCTAGTCTGCACGGGGAACCCCTCCGGCTCTGGAATGCCCATTGTTCCCCCGCACCTGAGGGTACCGTGCTCCCTGCCTCACGACGGACTGGCAGGGACACAACCTAGAACGTGCTCTGATCTCATCAGGAAGTGGAGCCCCATGGGGGCTACTAGGGTATCACTTGGCTTGAACAGATTCCAAGTCTTTCCTATAAAACAGTATGTATGCCTTCCCATATATCAGGAGTTATTCTCATAACTTCTCTAAATTTCTTAGCCCAGATGAACAATCCGAGACAGAAAAGTTGTATATCTTGGCTCATACCACACTTGGGCTCACACTCGCTTGGGATAAAAATCACTGACAACCACCTTCTCTTCTTCCTTCCAGTTTAAAACCTTCAAAAATGTTGAGTTCATCCCACAAATTCTATAGGCCTTGGGATTACTAACCCGGATGCGGTCAGAATGGGTGGGAAATGAGGACAGTGGCGACATTAAATAAACATGTTACAAAATAAGCTGATTTTTACTTAAAAGATACTCCAAGGTACACTGTTTTACTTTAAAATACCCAAAGATACACTGCAGAAGCCTTGGAATCAATGAAACAAGTTCAAGTGAAAAATACAAACAGAAACCAAACAGCTCTCCAGTCTGATGGGGAAACTTCCAAGATCCCAAAAGGTACCCTATTCTCCTGGCTTCTCCGTCCTTGTCCTGCAGGATTCAGTTTGGTCATCGTTTCCTGTGGATGCTAGTTGGGGATGAAGCTGGCTATGGATGTGCATTTCCAAGTGCAAGGCACACTGTCTTCCAACCTCCTTTCTGCCGGTCTCTCTTCCACGCGGGCTCAGAAAGGCAAGCGAACCAGCTTGCTGCCTGGCACACAGACGTGCTTGATAATTATTATTTTCAACAGATGAAATACTGCCAAACATTCCACAGATCTGTAACACTTCTTCCTTCCTGACTCCTTGTAGTTCACTCAACTTGCCGGCAAAGCTAATGAGAATGGGGGGTGGGGGGCTGTGTTTATACTGCTTCTGCTCTTCTCCAGGCTTGAGATCACAAATTATTGAGTGATGAAAGAGGACTCAGAGCAGACCTTGGAAGGTTTAGCAGGGGCTAAAAAAATTGTGATCCGCAATCCCAATGTCATCTTTCTTCTCCAGCTAAGAAACAAGAAATCCAGGCCAACCCCCTACGTTCTACTTCCCATGATGGGTACAGTCCTACCCCCTCCACCCCCCCACCAACCCCAAATTCATAACTCTTGAATATACACTGGCTGCTTTACCATTTGGTCTTTTAATAGAATCATTCAGTACTTTCTGAGCTTTCAGCCAATATTAGAAGAAAAATTCCAGATTATTCTGTTCTTTGTGACTCTCTTGAACTGCATGAAAACTGAGGAAAGCCTGGGAAGGCTGGAGTGGAAGCTGGAAGGGACTGAGCCAGGCCTTTCAAATAATCTCTCCAGATCCCTTTAGATTCCTGGTTTCTATTGAGGTTAAACAGTTTTATATCGTCTTGCAGTAGAGCGGCCAAGAACCGTATCTCCCTAGCATGGACCGTTACCACGTTAGGGACACGCTGGGTTTATCTGTAGAACCATCAGTTTCTTCCTTTTTGTGGTGTTTCACCCAATGGGGAACAGCTACCTCACTGGACGCTGCCACTCCTGCTCCCTTTAACCCAGCCTCTACCCAGCAGCCAGTGGTATTTTTTAAAAAATGGAAATGGCTTGTGCCGTCCTCCAGTAAAACTGTGCAGCTGCTCCCCACACTTCGGGTAAAATCCAAGTCCTTCCACGTGGTTGTTGAGGCCCAAGTGACTTGGCCTCCGGTCCTCCCTTCCACATCCTCCTCCCACTCTGCCCCGACCGCACTGGCCGGCCTTGAGCTCCCACCGAACTCTCCACCTTCACACATGCTGTTCCCTGCCTGGAACAGTCTTCCTCCCAATTCTTACTTGGCTGGTCCTCCTTGGCCTTCTGGTCCCAGTCGAACACCAGAGACCACCTCACCTACTGCCAACGTCTCCTTCCAGGTACCTGGTCCTTTCCTTCCTCATACATGGTCTGTTCCTTCTACCCAACAGCAGGCTCCGGGAAGTCCGGGCCCATGGCTGGCTGGCCTTCCGCTGTTTTTCCACCAGCATGCACCTAAGGCTGGCCACAGCGAGCGGCTCACAGGAGGCACATGATACAGACTTGCTGAATGGATCATGGGAGACCGTACAGGAGTAGTAACTGTGCGACGCGTCCAGAATGGAGTTCTCTGCCCGCCAACTCTTAGAGGTATCTACCACACATGGTTTGGGGAAGGTGGGTCTCTCTTCTTGTCATTGTTTTCTCTACACGACTGTCAGCCAACCTCTTTGTGAAAGTTCACTTTGGTCCTATTTGGTCCATATCTCATTAGCAGTGGCCTTTTGTGGAGTAGAGAGGACCGGCTTTGGGGCACGTATGGTGCCTGAACCTTCCAACACACACACAGTTGGCAAAGCTCTGTGCAGTTTGCTGCCTTATGTTTGAAGCGGTCGGATGCCTTCGGAGATTAAGCAGACAGAAGTGCATTGATACGGGCCTGAGTTGGTCCTCACAGCCCTTTGGAGAAATTCCTTTGGATTTAGGCTGGATGTGTGAGTGTACTCATTTTCAGAATCTGCCTCACTAAAAGTCATGTTCTCGGTTTCCTGGGTTTCTTTTTCTTACCCTGTCCCGTGTCCATCACACATGAAGCCGGCCTAACTCTCATCTCTCCTGCTAGCAGGTCTGAGTGTCATTGCCACAGGCTTCCCACGCACCTGCCCTCGGTCTCCTGGAGGGGAAGAAAGGAAGCCCAGATTCTCAGCTCTTCTGGTGTCTGGAAGAACATTTTCAGAACTGATGCCCTTGGGCACAGATCTCTGTTCTTAGCCTAACACAGGTGTTCTCTGTTTTCTGAT